GGCAAGCCGTATGTGTTTGATAAAGTCTTTCCGACGAACTGCACGCAGGAGCAGGTGTACAACACCTGTGCCAAACAGATCGTCAAAGGTGAGTGTGCATGAACGTGATTTAAAGATCGATATCGACTCTTCAAAAATATATAAATAATTGTCCAAATATCTCTTTTTGACCACAGATGTTCTGGACGGCTACAACGGCACCATCTTTGCATACGGACAAACATCATCTGGTAAAACCTACACAATGGAGGTAAAACTGCTTCTTTTACTCATTATTAAAGAAACTATGGTAACACTTTACTTGAAGGGGTGTGCATAAGACTGACATGACACCTTCATAAGCATGACAGGACACACGTCATGAATATTATGCATGTTTATTACAACTGTCATTAAGTGTCATTCGCTCAATTATGACATTTTTAATGCAAATATGACATTGTTTGAGATGTCTTTGTTATGACACCTTGACATAAACTAATACATCATAACCTGTCAGTGTCTTTGCCATGACAACTTGACATTACTAAGACAACACAACCTGTCATAAATATGTCATAAACATGACATAGCAGATTATCAAACTTAAGAAAGCACTTAGCTTTATGGGTTAGCATTACATTAAACTGTCATGTGGTTGGTTTAGACATTGGCTGTCATGAGGCCATTATAACATTTTAATGACAAATTCAATGTGTACCACTGTAGTTGAGTTCAAGAAAAATATTCATGACACAGTTATAATGCCTCATGACAGCCAATGTCAAAACCAACCACATGCAGATTAATGTAATGTTAACCCATAAAGCAAAGTGCTTTCTTAAGTTTGATCATTAATCTGCTATGTCATGTTTATGACATATTTATGACAGATTATGATGTATTGGTTTATGTCAAGGTGTCATAACAAAAACATCTTAAACAATGTCATATTTGCATTAAAAATGTCATAATTGAGCGAATGACACTTAATGACAGTTGTCATAAACATGCATAATATTCATGACATGTGTCCTGTCATGCTTATGAAGGTGTCATGTCAGTCTTATGCACACCCCTTCAAGTAAAGTGTTACCGAAATTATTCATTTAGAAATCAGGATCCAAATCACGTTCCAAACCCGTATGACTTTCTTTCTTCTGTTTTCATATTAAAATGTGCTTATTGCTTTCTCCATCAGGGAAAACTGCATGATCCTAACGGAAGGGGAATCATCCCGAGGATTGCCGAAGACATTTTTAACCACATTTACATCATGGATGAAAACCTGGAGTTCCACATTAAGGTGCAAAGCTGACGGCTGAATAAAAATCCAGATACACATCCTATTGTTTTCTAGTGGAGAAACTCGAAAAATTAGAATATGGTGCAAAAGTTCATTTATTTCAGTAATTCAACTTAAAAGGTGAAACTAATATATTATATAGACTCATTACATGCAAAGTGAGATATTTCAAGCCTTTATTTGTTTCTAATTTGCCTTACAGCTTATGAAAACCTTTTCACAATATTCTAATTTTGAATTTGGGGTTTTCATAATCTCAAACATTATAACAAATAAAGGCTTGAAATATCTCACTTTGCATGTAATGAGTCTATATAATATATTAGTTTCACCTTTTAAGGTGAATTACTGAAATAAATGAACTTTTGCACCATATTCTAATTTTTCGAGTGTCACCTGTTAGTGAGGAAATGAAAAGCTTTTAGATAATTCCACATCATTAGCTGTTCTCGTTTCTCTCCCAAGGTTTCCTACTTTGAAATCTACATGGATAAGATTCGTGACCTACTTGACGGTGAGTCAGTGTGTTTTGACCTAAATACATGCACTCACGCCAGAGAATGAACACTGGCTTTGCTATAATTAAAATGCATTAATATAATTTATTCTGCAGGTATAATTTATTTAAACTGTATATAAAAAGAACATTTAACCAACTGAGTGCTCTGAGTACAGGTGAACCTCGAAAAATTCGAAGATTGTGCAAAAGTTCATTTATTTCAGTAATTCAACTTAAAAGGTGAAACTAATATATTAAATAGACTCATTACATGCAAAGTGAGATATTTCAAACTGTAAGCCAAAATTATAACAAATAAACATTTGAAATATCTCACTTTGCATTTTGCATGAGAGAGAGAGAGAGAGAGTGTGAGTCTGATGTGAGAGAGAGAGAGAGTGAGTGTGTATGTATGTATAGGCAAGACAAGTAGTTTGTTTAGGCATGGTTGGTAGGGAAATTACAAACCTGCGCACACATATTCAAACGACTATAACTATAGAATCAATTCAGGTTCGCATTTAAAGTCTGTTTAGAGAGAACGGTGTCGTCTTAGTGGCCCCTAATTTGATAACAAATGATCATTTTGCTGGAAGTGAATCAATCAAAACCAACTTTAGCTGGAAATAACATTATTAAAAAATCGCTATAAAGCCAAAACAATCTCTGTTACCGTAAATTGTATGTTTATCTCTGTAAAGCTGCTTTGAAACAATCTCCATTGTTAAAAGCGCTATATAAATGAAGATGACTTGACTTGACATGACTATGTGAGAGAGAGAGAGAGAGAGAGAGAGAGAGAGAGAGAGAGAGAGAGAGAGAGAGAGAGAGAGAGAGAGAGAGAGAGAGAGAGAGAGAGACGAGTAATGAAACAGACAGATAGAGATCGACAGGCGCTGAGAAGATGAAAACGAAGCTAGATGACGTCAGTCTCGCTTTATCTATATTTGATTAAAAGGAAACTGACGTTCACATATGCGGTTTTAAATCTGCCTCGACTCGAATGAAGTTTCTCTCTCGCGCGTGCGCGTGTGTGTGTGTGTGTGTGTTAGCCCGATTAGAGACGCGTCTGTCTCGAAGGCTTGTTACTGTCATCACAAACTCAAGGCCTTCCTGTGGATGATGTGCATGTGCTCATTTAAGGAATAATTCAGCTAAAAATGAACAGAGTCTGTCATCATTTACTCGCCCTTGCGTCACTCCAAACCCAAACCTAGAGTGTGAGTGTGTGTATGTGAGAGAACACACAAGAAGATGTTTAGCAGAAAGTTCATGCTCTCACTCTTACGCAAAAAGGGCTTCTAGACTCAATTTTAAAGAACCCTTTTTGCCAAAAATATTCTATGTGAGGAGAAATGTCTCACGATATCACAATTTTCAAGTGATAAAGTATGTTTACGAGCGGTTTAATTCATAAAATGAGATCAAAATTTAAAAATGTGTTAAAACAAAAAACGAAATGCATAGAATGATCCCATGAAGGAACCTCTAAAAAGTTTCTAAATATTAAACTCTGATGGAAGCATTTAAGCTTATATAGAGTGATGCAATAAATGAAGACAAAAGCATTATAAAAATATCATAGTTCATAAAACCTGCACAGTATATTCCAGTTCAAGACTTGTGAGTGAAATGCAAGGCTATTTTTATGATTTGCATGAAGTTTTGTTTTGTTTTTTGGGCTTGAAGGTACGAATCCTCATCATGCTAAACATTGTTTATGTTCCAAAGAAGAAATGCACTGAAAAAAAAAATCCTCAGTTAATCCCTTAAAAAATTAATACACTGTAAACCCGAATAAGTTGGCACAACTCAAAAAATTTAAGGCAATCAGTTGCCTCAAATTTTTTACGTTAAGAAATTCAAAGTTTAAGTAAGCAGAACTGACATTTTTATTTTGTATTTGTACATTTGAATTGTTCTTAACTTGAAATGTTTGAGTACACTAATTCATACTTTTAACTTAAAATTGCATGTAATCTCAATGTGAACACTTTTATTAGTATAAACTTAGCTAGCTTTAACAAGCTAGTTTGCTAACATACTATTTTGTTAACATCTTAACAATAGTATGCTATACAGTAACACTTGCAGCAATGTAAAGTTTTATTTGCTCTCAAATCAAGCTTATGCACCACTTGTCACCATGATGGTAACTATCCTAAAACCAACATTAACAGAAATTCTTCTAAATTAGCATAACGAAACATTATTCATTACTAAATCACCCGCTTAACATTAATCTTGCACAAAAAAACATTGTATTACACTTAATTTTAGCATTTACTCTCCCTTTCGAGTGCCATCGGCAAAGCATGCTGGGAAATATACATCCCAGCCGTTTCAGTTAAACTTAAGTTCGTCTAAATTAAAAGAAATAATTTCATAAAACTCAAAACAATGAAACAGTTCAGTTTACTTAAAATATATCCATTCTGTGAACTTGAAAGAAAAAGAAAGTGCTAAATACTCATAAAAGTTCATTTGACTAAACTAATTAGTTTAATTTAAGTTTTTCCTACTCAAACCAATTAAGTATTTTGAGCGTTAGGGTTTACAGTGTATCTGTGTCAGTGAAGATGTCAGCGCATCAGAACGACAAGTGCTTGTGTTTGTGTACGGATAACAGTCAGATTGCTTAGTCATGTTGTCAATATAACAGTGTACTGATGTAAACTATGGATAAAGTTTTGATGACAATATTGTAAATCGTAGCTTGCACACCTTAGTGTGTGTGGGAGTTTGATTGCAAGAGAATGGACAAGATTCACATTTACGCTTTTACTGTTTGTACTGTAATCTGTTGACAGACCGTGTCATCGCGATCCAGAAAGGAAAGTCAGCACTGCATCGCACAAATGGGGGGGGGGGGGGGGGCTATTCAACAGAGACCCGTTATAATACACTTTGATCAACATGACATAAGCGACTGATAATAAATGGTAAATGGACTGCGTTTATATAGCGCTCTCACAGACCCAATGGCCACCAAAGCGCTTTACATATCGCCTCGCATTCACCCTTTCACTCACTCACTCACTCACTCACTCACTCACTCACTCTCACTCACTCAGTCACACACCGTTAATGTAGGAAACAGCAGAGAATTGATCATAATCATTTGCATGATGTACCAAAGCATTCGCAACTTCTCAAAGAAATGAGAAACTGCTTTTCTGATGTGCACGAGTGACTGATGATGTGAAGATTGAACCGGTCGTTCTTCTGATCTGAGAAATGCACCAAAGCGACGGAGAAAAACTGTAACTATAAGAATGCGGTAACAGTGTTTAGGTTCCTGTTCTTATAATCGCCCGTTTCCATTGGATCCGTCAGTCAGAGTTCAGACAACAAACAAGATGAACCTTTAATATCGAAACTTTCTATGGAAACGTCCCCGACTGTGGAAGATGTCACCCGTGATGCGTGAATAAAGCATATATCGTTCAGTCCATCGCTTGATGAAGCGTTTATTTCTGCACATGTGAGTTTGACTTTCACACCCTTCAAAGCTCGACTTCCTCTTGACACACAGTTCGAGTGGAGAATAGAGAGAAAGTGATGTTTCTTCTTCCTCCTGTGAAGAGGAAGTTGAGCTTCAGTGTGTCGAGCCGAGCTCTGATGGACAGAATGTGTGTGTGAGTGTGTGTGAAGGCGTTGGATATATTCACACCTGCCTTGTTTGGTTCGATTGAATCGAGCTCTAGTTCGTTTCCCCCCTTGGTGCGGACCTTTTGGGCAGGTGTGAATACACAGCAATCGAATTCGGGTGCGGACCAAACAACCGAACCGAGACCCAGCTGAAGAGGTGTCTCGGTACGCTTCCAAACGAACTCTGGTACGGTTCGTTTACGGTGTGAACATGAACCGACCCAATTGCAAGAAAGCACTGCGCCTTTGAGTTAACAGGCTTCCGTAGTCGGAGTTGCGTTATGGGAAAGTGATCTGTTGTAGCCTACTACATTTGATAAAATGAGTCGTGGTTTGACCTGGAGCTTCGAAGAGACGAGCTGCCTTGTTAACATTTGTGCAGATGCCCATGAATAACACAAAATTAGTAAAAGAACAAATATTGCAGTACGAAATATCTCCATGCTGAACCTTTTTTGCACTTCCTGATTTCCCTACTTGAGAATCCTTGTCCAATGAATGGACGACCTTAGCACACGTGTGGTTTTGTTTACAAATTTTGGTTCACTTGCAAAAAGAGCAGTGTGAAAGCGAACCGTACCAAAAAAAAAATATATATAATAATTTGGTCCGGACCAAAGTAAGTGAACTATCGGACTTTCCTGGTGTGAATACACCCTAAAGCTCGTCAGTCGCTGGATTATAATCTGACGCTCGAGATCTGATGCTCTGTAAAATCAGAACGAAGCTTTTCATTTTCAAAGAGAAACGAGTCTCACATCTGAATGAACTGATATTGAAAAAGAAACATTTGGTCATTTTTTTCACTTGTTCTTATTGGGTTTGGAACGACTGAATGTTCGTTGTTCGTCCTCCCTCATCCTCCTCTTTCTCTCTCTCTTTCTTACAGTGAGTAAGACAAACCTGTCTGTGCATGAAGACAAGAACCGAGTTCCCTATGTGAAGGTGAGAGCAATCAAATCATCCTTCATCTTCTCAAATTAATGAGATCATTACACTATGAAAACTCTCAAAACTGCAAACATATAATAAATACACGAAATAAAATTGATGTTGAGACTATTTTCACTCAGAAATTGCTGTTAAATTTCACAGACAACAACAAGAAATGGCAAGTAACACGTTGAATTAAAAATAATAAATAGTATTTTATTTTCAGGCTTTTATTTACACATTTTTTTACAGTGTAGTGTAGGATAGATATTATTTCCCTTCATATGATATTTCACATTGTATTCTATTGTCACATATCATATCATAGATGATATAATCATATATATGATACAATATTATATCTACAATATGATATATTTTATATTATTTATAAATATATTTATTCATATTTTATAGTATATTCATATATCTTATCGTATCGTTACATATTGCATCATATCATATAAAATATAAAGTATAGTGTATAGTATCATGATATTGTATCATGTCATATCAAATCATATCATGTATCATATATCATAACATCTGGTATTGTTAGATAAAGACGTGCCAATAAGTTTAGCCTTACTAGAGACTAAAGTTTAGTGTGTGTGTGTGTGTGTGTGTGTGTGTGTGTGTGTACAGGGTTGTACTGAACGTTTTGTTTCCAGCCCTGATGAAGTGATGGATGTTATTGACGAGGGAAAAGCCAACCGTCACGTCGCTGTCACAAGTCAGTATCTCCACGCCACACACAGAATAGAATGTTCGTTCAAAATGATCTGGTCCTTGAAATGTTGGCACAAAAATGTTGCTTATACATCATTCTATGGAACACTTTTTACCTGAAATGTAACATTTTTTCAAATGTAACACCTTGTTTCAGAACATTCCGAGAACATTCAAAAGTAACACTCCCATAACGTTTGAAGAATGATCAGATGGAATGTTCCCTAAACGTTCAAGAAAAAAACGAACGTTTTGAAAACTACAGGTGAAACTCGAAAAATTAGAATATGGTGCAAAAGTTCATTTATTTCAGTAATTCAACTTAAAAGGTGAAACTAATATATTATATAGACTCATTACATGCAAAGTGAGATATTTCAAGCCTTTATTTGTTATAATTTTGATGATTATGGCTTACAGCTTATGAAAACCCCAAATTCAAAATTAGAATATTGTGAAAAGGTTTTCATAAGCTGTAAGCCATAATCATCAACATTATAACAAATAAAGGCTTGAAATATCTCACTTTGCATGTAATGAGTCTATATAATATATTAGTTTCACCTTTTAAGTTGAATTACTGAAATAAATGAATATTTGCACCATTTTCTAATTTTTCGAGTTTCACCTGTAATGGGGCTGTTTACACCTGGCCACTTCATGCGTTTTCTCAGATCGGATAGCGATCTGGGGCCGTATTCACAAAGAATTTTAAGGCTAAAAGTAGCTCCTAACTGGCGAATTTAGGAGCAACTCCTAAAAATAATGGGCGTGTCACTCCTAACTTTAGGACTCCTAATTTTTTTCACTAAGAGTAATTCACGAAGCATTTTAGCCTTAAAAGTAGCACCTAAGTCTGGGACAGCCTAAAAGAAGTCGAGAGGACTCCTAACTCACTAAGACCAATTCACAAAGGATTGTAGCGCACACCAGCGCCTCTCGCAGTCGTCCGGGGTCCGCGACACAAGCGGGAACGCTGCATTGATCTGCAAACAAATCCTCTGCCATCACAGCATAAAGATGCATTTGAAGTGCTGCACAGGGTGTAAAATATCGGTGCTCTTTGGTTGCTTGGGATAGTAATGCTCAAAATCAAAGTAATAATCCAAGGCACTCGAGTTGTGTATACAAAAAAGTAAAAAGCCTTTATTAAATCATGGCTTCTATCATTAAAATTGGTGACAGATACACCTACGCGTTGCGGCTATCGCCTTCGTCAGGGTGTGTGTAACAAACAAAGTCACAAGTGCATTTTAAATAGCAGTTCATTAGTCTAAATAGCAAACACCTGGTCACACACTACGCAATGTAACCAGCAGGGAGCAGAATTCAACAAATGAAATAGTATATTGCATAATATCAAGCCAAATCAAACTCAAAAAAAAAAAAAAAAAAAAAAAAAAAAAAAAAAAAAAAATATATACATATACATATATATATATATATATACACACATACATATACACATACACATACATACATATATACACATACATACACATACATACATAAAAAAAAAAAAAAAAAAAAAAAAAAAAAAAAAAAAAAAAAAATACATATATATACATATACATATACATATATATACATATACATATATATACACATACATATACACATACACATACATACATACATACACATACATACACATACAAAAAAAAAAAAAAAAAAAAAAAAAAAAAAAAAAAAAAAAACTTTAATTGAAATATTTTCAGCAATATCTAGATTACATTATACAAATCAAAACATAACAATAAAATAAAGTAGAGCAAAAAAAACATATCAAAATATACACGTCAATGGATGTATACATCTAATGGTACACAATACAACTAATTTCATGAAAAATTTCACAGAAATGGTACAAAATCTAATTCTCCATTTAAACCTGGAAATGTGGTGGCTTTCAGTGAGTAAATCCAGAAAGATTCTCTTTGTAGTAACTTCTTAACCCTATCCCCTCCTCTTATGGACTTGGGGATGTGTTCAATACCGATTATCTTGAGTGTATTAGGACTACCATGGTTTGTATCTCTGTAATGAATGGCCATAGGATATAGAGGGTTACAGATTCGAATGGCGTTTTTATGCTCTGATAATCGTATCTTTAGTTTTCTAGTCGTCATCCCTATATAGAAACATCCACATGGACACTCTAACCTGTAGATCACAAATGAGGTATTACAATTAATGAAAGATCTTATTTTCAGTTCGGAGTCAGAGGTTACGTCTCTAAATGTTTTTGTCCTGATCATATTATCGCAGTGATTACAGTTGCCACACCTGTAATTTCCTGCACTTGAACTTAACCAGGTATTGGCTTTCTTAGGAGAAAGATGACTTCTCACTATTTTGTCTTTAATTGTTGGTGCTTTCCGAAATGCAATGGAAGGAGATTCGGGCATGACTTCCCTGAGATAAGGGTCACTCATAACTATTTCCCAATTCTTCTTTATAATTTTCTTAATTCTGTTTGCCTCTGTGCTATACTGTGTCACGAAATATACAGAGTTATCTGGATCCTGTGATTTACGTTTTTGTTGTAATAGTTCGTCTCTACTGATGTTTCTCACTTTATTGTATGCTTTGTTAATCACGCTATTTTTGTAACCCCGTTCCTTAAATCTTTGAGTCATGTCTTGTGCTCTGATGTTAAAATCTTCTTCCTTATCACATATTCGTTTCAGCCTCTGGAACTGGCCAACAGGAATATTCTCGGTCATCCATAAAGGATGAAAACTATCTGCTCTCAATATAGTGTTTCTGTCAGTTTCTTTTCTAAATATAGTAGTATGCAGCGCACCACTACTTTCTTTGAAGATTTTTAAGTCCAAGAAATTAATCTGAGTATGTGAATAGTCAAGACTCAGCTTCAGATTTACATTGGTATTATTAAGATAAGCGTGAAAAGCTATTAAATCCACCTCCGATCCTGTCCATATCAATATAATGTCATCTATATATCTGCCCCACCACTCCACATATTTTAAATATGGGTTTAAGTCAGAAAATACAAAATTCTTTTCCCAAAATCCCAAAAACAAATTTGCATAATTAGGGGCAAAACATGCACCCATAGCTGTACCTTTAATTTGTTTATAGAATTTATCTTGAAACAAAAATATGTTGTTTTTCAATGTCCATTCCGCTAGTTGTATAATAAAACATGCAGGTGTCCTTTCGGTAGATGATCTCATATCCAGATAGTATAATAGTGCTTCCAGTCCATCTTTATGGTCTATGTTTGTATACAGTGATTCAACATCCATGGTCACCAAAATAGATGATTCAGTAGTTTTAGTCTTTTTAATGGTATTTAATACATGGGTAGTATCCTGAATAAATGAAGGAAGTTTTCCAACCAATGGTTTGATAAAACTGTCTACAAATTTTGAAGCTGGCTCTGTAATAGATTCATTTCCACTAATTATAGGTCTCCCTGGCGGATTTTCAAGATTTTTATGTATTTTAGGGAGCATATAAAATGTAGGAATCCTAGGATTTTTACAGGAAAGAAAATCACATTCATTTTTTGAAATCCATCCCTCATCTTTAGCATGTGATAAAATATCAGTCAGTTCATTTGTCATTACTTCTATTGGATTGGATCTCAGGCACTGGTAGTACTCACGGTTTTGAAGTTGTCTCAAGGCTTCTTCAATATACTGATCTCTGCCCCATACAACAACAGCACCTCCCTTGTCCGCTCTTTTTATTACTAGCTCTTCATTATTAGAAATCCAGTTCAAAGCTTCTCCTTCTTCTTTTGAAAGATTATATTGTTTTCGTTTTTTTGAAGTGAAGATCTTGTCAATGTCATACATTACTTTCTTGTAGAAGGAGTTCAAAGTTGGATTAGATGAACCTGGCATGAATGTTGACTTGGGTTTGAATGTTGTTGCCTTCTTGTCATAGGTACGAGTAGCTGCTTCAGAAGTGTAGTACAAAGCTTTCAGTTGAAGACTCCGATGAAACTTGAATAGGTCCACTTTAGTTTGAAAATCTTTGGCTGTATTTATAGGGGCATAGGACAAACCTTTTGACAATACAGAAACACAGCTTGTTGATAGAGTAACCTTTGAAACATTTATCACTTCATCCCCTTTGTTTGGCTCCTGGTGTATCTGCCTTGAATTGGGAATCTTGGTAGGTCTCTTTCTTCCTCGTCTCGTCTTCCGCTGTCTTGTCTTCTGAATCTCTGATTTGCTCTGGACTTTTTCTCTAAAAAATCTCTTCTAGGTGAAGTCTCCACTACTGAGCGGTCTTCATCACTGCTAGGTAAATTAAAAGATACTGATCTCTTTCTAGGAGTCTTAACATTCCATTGTGACCATGTGTAAACCTTCCGCTCCTTGTAATCTTTTTCATCTCTTCCAAATTTTGTCAGCTTTTCTTGCTTGAGTTTTTTGGATAGTTGATCTAAATCTTCTTTAAGTTTCTCTTCAAATTGAATAAGTACTTCATGTCCATCTGATGTAAACTCTTGTTTGATTTTGACGATCTGTTTTTGTGTTTCAGTTTTCTGTTTTTTTGCTTCCTCAATTAGTAGCAGCATTAGATCTTGGGAACATTTATTTAATATTGCTTCCCACTTTTGTTTGAATTCTCCATCTTCATGGCCGAATGAAGGAAATTTTTTAATTCTAAGTCCTCTTGGGATCATGTTTTCTCTCCAGTAGTCAGATAGTGTAACCATATGTAAATGTAATCTTAATTCTTTTTCCGAATGTCTCTTAAGTTCATAACACAGTTTTTTAGAGTCTGCATACTGCGGTCTATATTCTTGGCTCAACAATGTATCAGTTACTATAATCTTCTCACCTTCTTCTTTAGAGTAGGAAAAATAATTCGTCGTCATCTTTTTGATGGAAGTCTGTATCTCGATCCCCAAATACGTCTGCTAGACGGAGCAACTTCTGCACAAGACGATCCCTCCACGTCCTTATTTCATCACAGCATAAAGATGCATTTGAAGTGCTGCACAGGGTGTAAAATATCGGT